CTCGAGCCTGAATTGTTTAACTGTTACTTCCCTAATAAACCTCATAATTGTGAGTATGGTGAGTTCTCTGTGGCGATTGCAATGAATTATTGAACCCAAGTAGAGAGTGCTATGGGAGGGACAGCTGGTGTCAGAATTAGTAAATATGGCAGAGAGAGGAGGCTTGTCTGGCCGCCACCTCAGGGGAGTCTGCCTTGTGCTGTTGATCTTGGTTCTCCTTCCTCCTTGTGGGGTTGGAGGAAGTCAGACACCTACCCCACACCGTTCTTACAGTGACCCTATAGGATAGAGTAAAACTGCCCCGTAGGGTTTCCAGACAGCAGCTGATGAATTGCCAGCCGTTTTTGGTTAACAGCCATAGCTCTTAACCACTGTGCCAGCAGGGCTCTCCATGTTCTCTATAAGATATATGAAAAGAAATTAATATTTAAGAGACTTCATACGGATGATTTTTAGCTGGGCCCAAAGAAAGATACTGCCCTCAAAATACTTTCATATGCTTTTATCATCAATCATTTTTGGAATCTAAAAACTTAACTACTGAACCAGTTAGTGACATATTACCAAGTATCTCATTTGTATTATTTCTGACAGAACTTTTGCATATGGATCTGTGAACATGAAGGAAGCATTTATGACATTATAAAATTTTCCTTTTTCACCTCCTAGTCCTCATCAGAGCCCTGGTGGCACAGTGGTTAAGAGCTACATCGTGCTACAGCTGTTAACCAAAAGGTCGGCAATTTGAATTCACTAGCCGCTCCTTGGAAACCCTATGGAGCAGTTCTACTCTGTCCTATAGGGTTGCTATAAGTCAGAATCGACTCAATAGCAACGGGTTAGATTTTCCGGTTTTAGTCTACATTAACAGTTTCTACAATATGATGGAAGACACAGCAAAACAAACCAATCACAGGTCAGCTGTTCAAGAAGCACTGTCTGTGCTCTAGCTCTAGGACAGAGCCATATATGCAAAGAGAATATTCCTTACAATTCTCCTTAGACCTATCTCTCTTCACCCTAGTTATAAAATCAGTGTGTCTAGAAAAAGAAGTCGTGTTAGAAACTTCTGTTTGATGATGATGAAACATCTTAGGTGGATATTTTAAGATATGATAACAATAACAGTTTTAATCATAACCACATATGATTGGAGATAGAATGGGATAATTAAGCATTTAACCTGTATGTAAAAATCTATTTGATATCTTACCTAAAGTAAGGCAATAAATAGTATTTGTCCACTATGGTTTTATTTTTCAAATCCTAGTGTAAAATTAATTTTAGGGTGTTGATAATGATAAATAGCATTTTTATTATCATCACTCCTCTACAAACACCCTCACTCCTCTCACATCCCACCTTCTGTTGTACTTACCTGGCAAAATCCTAATCCTGGTTAAATTCAACTACCCACTCGTATAAACTTGCATCCAAGTAGCTGAAGATGGCCAACGAATACAATCATGCCAGTGGGTTTCAATATAAATACATCATCTCCAGTCTCAATTATTGCCTGGCAGTCTTTTTACACTTCTCTAGTGTATTCACTCTTCCACTTTCCAAGACAACTATTTTCTCACCTACAGTAATTTATACCTTTCCTAAAACCTTTCACAAACTATTGCATATTGTCTCTGCAGGAAGGCAGTGCCAGGGCTAGCATTTTATTATACAGCCCAGGAGGCTGAGTCAAAAATATTTGTTGTTCGTAGCAGAGCCAGTGCTAGGGAGCCTCAGAGGTAGTGAGCATCCAATCACTGGAGATGTAATGGAGGTCTGTATGTCACCAACTCACACCAATTCTACATCTTCACTTTATCCCCTCATCTCCATTCCCATTAACAGTTCTTCAGTCCTCATCTGAACCAATTCAGTAAGTCCATAACTGGTCTTTCCAAAGCCAGTCAGGCACTCATCTCTTCTGAACAACTCTATAAAGAGCCAATATAGTGATTTTTCTAAATTTTAAATCTAATCATGCTATTTATTACATGCTTAAAATTCTAGAGGATCAAGTCTAATTCCTCAGTAAGCATAATGGAAAGAACACAAGTTTCAGCCCTTAGTAGCTGTATGATTTGAGGGGGGTGGGGGAGTACTCAGTTTCTTCACCTGAGTTGTTTTTGAAAGGTTTAAAATATTACTGATGAAGTTTCTGATACAAGGTAAGTGCTCAAGAAATGGATGCTTTTCTTCTTATGCCATCTTCTCCAGCCCTATATGCACTTTAAACATTGGTCCTGTGGTATCACATGCAGTTCTCTGGATGCAGCTGGCCTGCTCTTTCTTGACTCTTGTTTCCGCTTGTCCTTGAAATACCCTTACCCCTTGTCTGTCTGGTTAAATCCTACTCTCTTTAACAGTGTGCACAGGCACCACCTTCCATGTCAAGCTTTCCCTGCCACTATATATCTGATAAGGGTTTAACATTTAGAATATATAAAGAACTCCTACAACTCAACAACAAAAAAGACAAGTAACACAATCAAATAATGGACTTGAATAGACATTTCTCCAAAGATATACAAAGATATACAAATGGCCACTAAACACATGAAAAGATGCTTGACGTCATTAATCCTTGTTGTTAGGTGCTGTTGAGTCAGTTCCGACTCATAGCGACCCTATGTACGACAGAATGAAAACACTGCCCGGTCCTGCGCCATCCTCACAATTGTTATTATACTTGAGGTCATTGTTGCAGCCACTGCGTCCATCCATCTTGATGAGGGTCTTCAGCTGTTTCTTCTCGTTTTGAGTTGTGCCACATCAGCAAATGAAGGTCATGAAAGCTTTACCCCATCCACGTCATTAAGGTTGACTGTACTTTGAATGGGCAGCTATTCCCTAGTTGTATTTTGACTGCCTTCCAACCTGAGGGGCTCATCTTTTGGCACTATATCAGACAGTGTTCCACTGCTATTCATAAGGTTTTGACTGGCCAATTGTTTCGGAAGTAGAATGCTAGGTCCTTCTTCCTAGTCTGTCTTAGTCTGGAAGCTCCACTGAAACCTGCCCACCATGGGTGACCCTGCTGGTATTTGAAATACCGGCAGGCATAGCTTCCAGCATCACAGCAACATGCAAGCCACCACAGTACGACAAACTGACAGACAAGTGGTGGCATTAATCATTAGGGAAATGCAAATCAATGGACCAATGGAACCACAATGAGATACCACTTACCCCCACTAGGATGGTTATCATCAGAAAAATGGAAAATGTCAAGTCTTGGAGAGGATGTGGAGAAACTGGAACCCTCATCCATTGCTGGTGGGATTGTAAAATGGTGCAACCACTGTGGAAAACAGGTGGTTCCTCAAAAACAAAGAATTAGCATATGACCCAACAATTCTACTCCTAGGTATATACCCAAAAAACCTGAAAGCAGGAATTCAAAACAGGTACTTGTACACCAATGTTCATTGAAGCCTTATTCATAATAGCCAAAAGGTGGAAATAACTTTTGTCCATCAACAGATGAATGGATAAACTAAATGTGGTCTATTTATACAATCAAATATTATCCAACCATAAAGAGAAATGAAGTTCTGATACATGCTATGACATGGATGAAACCTGAAAACATTATGCTGAGTAAAAACAGACACAAAAAGACAAACATTGTATGATCCCACTTACATGAAATATCTAGAACAGACAAACACCCTCATCTAGTTTATTAGTGGTTACCAGGGGCAATGGGAGGGGGAAGGAGGAATTCTTGCTTATAAGGCACTGAGTTTCTATTAAGGGTGATGAAAGACTTGGAAACGGATAATGATGGTTGCACAACATGGTGAATGTAATTAATGTCACTAAATTGTACATGTAAAAATGGTTGAAATGGAAAATGTTTTGTTATATACATTTTACCACAATTCAAAACAAAAGTGAGATATCTAGAATAGCCAAATGCAGAGAGATAAAAGTTAATTAGTGGTTGGAAGCCAACTGCCACATCTTTCTCCTGTGGAGCAGCTGGTGGGTTTGAACTGCTGACATTTTGGTTGGCAGCTGAGAGCTTTAACCACTGCACAACCATAACTCCTTGGTAAATACATAGAGATAAAAGTTCATTAGTGGTTACCAGTGTTAAGTTGGAGGGGAGGAATTGGGAGTTACTGCTTAAGGGGTATGAGTTTCCCTTAAGGGTGATGAAAAAACTTGGAAATGCGTAGTGGTGATGGTTGTCCAACAGGGTGAACATAATCAATGTCACTGAACTGTACGTGTAAGAAATGATTGAAATGGCAAATATTTTGTCATATATATTTTGCCACAAAAAAGTTGGCATGTAACGTTATTATAATCATTCCTACATCATGTATTCGCATTTATTTAGTTCACCCAGACACTTCAAAAGTTTACATTACTGAATCAACAAATTGGACATTCTTAGAAATGGATGCACTCTTTCAGGCGACTGAATACAATATAACAGCCTGCCAAGATGGACTAAAAGCTTAAAGGAATGGAAGATCTCAAGAACATGTAAAATTGGTTAGTTGCCTATGTTCATATATCAGTACTAAACTGCCTATTTAGAAAACTAACAAACTGGCTTTTAAGACAATTAAAATCGAGTTGACTTTCTCTTTACCTGGTAATTTTTGGCCATGAAGCATAATATTAATAATAGATACCAACTGAACTAGAAGTTCTAGATCCTAAAGTCTCAGAAACAATACTTTGAAAACTTATGGTATAAAAAAGTCAGAAGTATTTTATGTACTTGAAAGTCCACAATTTACACAAGTGCTTTCATTCTAGCCTTGTAAATGTAGAGAATACAGTTTAATTAGTTATACATGGTAATAGAAGAAACCAACAGATTGTAACATATTTTCCTATCCCAATTTTCTTTTGTGATTACTGAAATCAAATAATTTGATATTATATGATTATTATGCAGTCAAGCTTTTTGGCAAGTCTTACCTGAAATTAAAAGGTATTTGAAAGTTAAAACAAACTAGGAAAAAATGAAAAGCACCCTTGTTTGTTCTAACAAAATTTATTATGCAGTAATTACAAAGGTTAAAGACTTTTCCATCTCAAATAAAAATAACTGCTATAATTACACACATAATATAGTACCTTATAGAGTGATTCCAATAAATATCACAAGAAATACAGTGCATTTTCAAATTGGAGAGACAAATACTTTCTCATTCACAGTGTTTGACATAGGAAAGCCTGTTCACATAATGATTTGTATAAGACCATGCTCTTAGTATCAGTCCACACAGAACTGTGCCAATACAATTCTTTCAGAATGTGAAGTACCGGGCAAACCACTCCTGGCGCTGGGGATCTGGAGAAGCCACCGGGGAAGCTTCACTCTGAGGAGGACTGAATTCATAAAAAGAGAGACATGTAACCCAGCATTCAGCTGTTTTGCAAAATGAAGGTAAAAGCACATAAAACATCAGTGTAGACTACCACAGCTGGTTCTGATTTTAGAAGCTATGTTTTAAAGACTTGCTACTCCTCTAGAGTCGGTTCTCCACTCCATGAGAGTGCATCAGCAACTCAGTTAAGGAGGAGCCACATCACAACAATTACAAAAATAAAAATAAAAACAATTAAGAAAAATAATGTCACCAAAACTGAGGAAGAATTGTGAGGAATAAGAGAGAATACGAAAATGCTCCTCTATTTCAGTACCTTTTCCCTTTCAGTTAATTAAACTTTCAGAATCTGATACAAGCATTTGATTCTTACAGATGGGTCCTTAAATATAACTGAACTAACTAAACCAAGATATAATATTTTTTTTAGGTATAGTATTTTTACTTGATGTATACTTATGTTAAACTTTCATAATTCTATAACAAATACTCGAGGGGAAAAAGGATGCATTAAAAATCCAATTTCCCCCTCTATCTTCAAAGTTATATAATTTATACTTATCTTAGTTATAACTAAAGATTCTTTGGGCTAGTTGAGAAAACAAAAGGATCCCTACCGTCTTTGGGGGAAATTACAAGGCACGCAACATGTGTAATGGAAACTCCAGTAGTCATGTTTCTTGAGCTCATGCACATGCATCTTACTGATACCTGAACATACTCATGCACAAGGGAACATAAGCAACACAAAATATTTAGCAGTAGACACGTTTAAAGGTGCATTTGAGTATTTTTCAATCTTGCTCTTTTTTTTTTACTGTTTTAAAATAATTAGTCATTAACTATGTCAACCACTTAGCCAAAAAACAAATTACCTACATGTTAAGACTATTGCTAGTGACACTGAGGTTTAGTAAGAATAAGTTAAAAAAAAAAAATTAAAGCAGCAAAAAACCAGTAAACAGTAAGATGAGCATAAAATGACAGTACTTTCTGACTTTACCTATGATTAAACAATTGCATTTCTTTAGAAATTTACTTGTTAATATACTTAATAACTCTGAGGTAACAAAATTGGCCTGCTGATTAAGAAATTATTTCTAAGTTTCCTTTTTGTTTAAGTATATAAGCTCTCAAGAGTTTACATATACTTTATTTTGGCATTAAGTATATATACTTATAAATAAGACTAGTAAACAAGAAAGGGAAAAAATGAACATATATAACATAAGAAACATAAATAAAACCCCCTTAATAAATAAAAAATGTATTTTAAAGTTCTATAAGAATGGATTATTAATAAAAAATTAGTGAAATAGATAATACTAAAAATGAAGCAACTTTTCACAAATATTAAAATTCTAAGCATATAAATTATATTAGCACCTCTTCAAGCATTTAGAAAACTGGCAACTATTAATTAGAAAAAATCTTTTCAATAGAGCCAAAAAATTCTCTAGAGAGGTGATAAATATATTTTGAAAATATTTCACAGTAATATTTCTTTTCCTAGCCTGTTCTTAAGAGTAGTGGGTTTCTGCAATGTAAGAAGGTAGATTTCTCAAAAGAGAAAAGAAAAACAAAAATCATTGGTGAGGCAGGGCTCACCTCAAAAATGTCTTGGGCTCTTTGGGTGGCACTGGCTGTGGAAGTGGTTTACTGCTGTTGAACTCAATATCGTGGACTGGAGAATTAGGAATGGGATCCAGGCGATTAGGATGTCCATTGCCCACTCCACCAGATTCCAGAGCACTTAGATTGGGAACACTCACAAACCTGTTTGTTGTTGATTTATCATTCTTCTTCTTTTGCTGCATTAAAAATAACACATGTAAGGATAGTCCCTGCGTAAGGACAAATGAGAAAATAGGAAGAGTAGAAGATATAAATTCGTCGTGAAAACTTTGGAAGCTTTTGTAAGTTGGAATGTTGAAATTAACTAGTATTACCCAAAGTGTGGTCTGGGGATCCTTGGAGATGTTCTTTATCTACATGGAATCCTCATAGCCAGACATGCTGCCAGGAGAGGAAGAATGAGGAAGAAATGTTGAGGAGTGGTACATGGGAAGGGAGGAGGAGGTGGAAAGAATGCCAAGGGGTAAAAATATTGGGAGGAAGAGGGGAAGAGAGTAGGTCTTGCAGGTGCCACGAGGTTAAATTGATTTTGGCTAAAATTAGAAGGGGAACAGTTAAAAATAATTTTAAAAGAGAGGTCCATGAACTTTTGCTATCTGTCAAAGGGAGGAAGTCCTTGCCTAGAAAAAAAAAAGGGGATGAGAAAATACTTGGCAATCTAGTTTGACACAAATCTCACATTTCTACTTAAGATATGAAGCTGATTTGGAGACGTAAATTGGTTTTAAATTTACTGCACCATCTTTCTGAAAAGAGAAAACTAAGCCTGCAAAATTAAGTCTAATTTTCCAATTAATTGGTAATATTAATTATAATCTTTTTTAAAAACTTAAAGTTTACAAAACAAAAATGATCAATGTTTTGTAACTGGCCATCAGATAGTTGTCTTTCAAATAAACAGAGATGAAAAGAAGATTACAAGTACAGATTACCAAAATCTACCAGCTTCCAAATCCTTAAACTAAGCCTCAAACTAAGTATTTTATGAGCATCTCTAGAATCGATGAGCATCATCTTGCTCTGCCGAATAAAAATTAACAAGTTTTAAAATATTTTGAATATTCTCATCTTCTGCTAATTAAATGTATGGTAATAAAATTTCTGAAATAATTTTTACCAAATGTCTCCAGAGTTTGGAAAAAAAATGCACTTAAGTGACAAACAGTCTTTTTCCTTTACTTATAAAGTAGTATCTTACTATCGAGACGTCTTTCTCTATGTTATATTCTATGAATCATGGAGTCTCTGACAAGAAGCCTATTGTAGTATAACTGAAAAAAGAAAGAATTGTCTTCTTCATAGTCATTTGTGAAAATTGAAGTCACTATTAGGAGTCAGAAGTAGCTTGAAAGATCTTACAAGGATACAGCTTTGCATTTTCTTTTTCTAGTTACCAGAGGGCATAATTAAACCTATTTAAGATTTCTATTTTAAGAAGTCAAAGTATTACTGGTAAAGTTCTAGTAATGATATCATAGCTAAATATTTAATTTCAATAAAATAAATAATAAATGAAAGGAAAATATTTCTAGTAAATCTTGTTTGAACATGTCTCATAATTTTGCTTTATAAACTGAGTTTATTTTACCCTAACGATAATTGTGAATTTAAAAATGGAAATTAACTACATTCATTCATTCACCAATTATTTATTGAGAGCCTTCTATGTGCCAGGTAGTATGTTAAGCTATGAAAATACAGCTATATGGTCCCCTACTTTAGTCATTCTATTTTATAAAACATTAAAGTTTGGAACACTTTAACCTGTGAAAGAAGGGTAGAGTCAGAGTTCTTAAGAGAGAAGTTCTATGAGTGTTAAAGCAAAAGTTTAAATATGTTTCTGGCTGAGCACCTAACAGAAATTAGGTGTGATATGCAACTTAATAAAATTTGGATCAACTTTTATTTATGCTGCTAAAGATATATAATCCCAGTGTGGCTAATATATACAGTTATTATTTATTCTTTATTATGTGCTTTATTCCCTAAGATAATTCATGGTGGCTTTTAGAAAATATGATGAAATTTTGTAACTGAGCAAATATTTATTGAATACCCACTATACACAAAGCATTATTTTGGGAACCATGGGGAGCTGGGGTACAAAGACATACAAGACTTAGCCATGTCCATTCATTTGTCTGCAAGGCTTTTCTAATTGTCCTAAGAGAGGTAATAAAGTTAAGTATCAGAAAGAGACATATTTAATTTTAATTATCAAGAAAGGTCAGAAGACTGAGCAAAGTAAAATCCTTCTCTGACAGTTGGGTAGGGAACAAAATACATGTTCAACCCAAGGTCCATTGAGATCAGAGGCCTTAAGTTAGGGATAGCAATTGAGTATCCAGGCTTGAGTGTCCTTCTGGACCCCATAGAGAATTCTGACCCCTAAGGAAGAAATTAGCTTAAGGTGATTTAGTTTTCTTTAGAGATAAGAAAAACAAACCAGTAAAACTAAGGCTTTATAATAAAATTATTTTAAGGAGTATAAGTTATCAATAAATACAAGAAATGATTAGAGTCTTATTCTGAAAATGAATACATAAAAAATTCATCGATTTTAGTCAATTGTTTAAAAAAAAAAAAAAGGAAGCCTTATCCTCTGCTACTCTAAATATTTTACTACATTTTAAATCAAGTTTAAACCACTTCTCTATTTTCAGTGTTTCCAGCACATACCTTTGTTAGTGGATTAATAACACCAACAGTAGGACTTGAGTTAAACACTTTGTTGAAGTTAGTTTCTCGATTGACTAATTCCAGCTGGTAAAATTTATTATCCTCCTAAGCAAAAGAATTTCAAACATCTTTTAAACATTTTCGATTGGATATTTTAAAAAATTTATAAACGTCATTTCATTCAAAATTTAATATAAAACATCTATGAACATGCATATGCCTTCTTAAAAAATTTCTAGAGCCGGTTGCTGATGTGTTAAATAGATAGCTGGTAGGTAAGTTTTTAACACCTTTCAAACCCTTTACCCCAGGGTCTTTTCTCTACTCTTCAAACCCTCTTCCTCCTAGACTGGGTCTGTTTTATTTGGTCCCATCTCTTCCACAGGGCTGGCTGTGCAGTTTGAGCAGGTCTAACTTGCACTCATGGAACTGTGTGCATGGCTGAGTTGTTTATGACACTGTAACCTTATCCTGGAGTACTGGAGGTGGATTTGAACATACCTGATTTCCTCTCTGAGACATCAGAGTTATTACAGCATTGGGAACCATACAGCAGCGAAAAAAAATGGCACACACAGAGATAAAATATTGGCCTTTTGGCTTCACTAACGAAATGTACTAATTAAACTAACCAGACTGAAGGAAGGCCGTAAGTAAATGGAACAGTGTGTGTCAGAATGCAGTGCTGTGCTCTAGTAGAACTAGATTCTTCACCCACCATTTAGTCACCACTTACTACCACCCAGTAAGTCATTAACCTCACAGTCCACAGAATCAGGGAGTCAGCAGGATACAGTGGAAAAAGAATGAATGAGCTCTGGTGTGGGACAACCCTTGGCTAGACTCCTGGTACTGTCATTGAATAGCTGAACTGCTTTGGACAGTTACTTCTCTCTTCGAAGTCTAATACTGTGTTGTGAGGATAAAATACAATTATATCTGTAACATCTATTTAGTAAGAACTCGAAAATCAATAGCTATTTCTAGGGACAATAGCTGAAATACACTTACTATACTTGCTAATTTCATGTGTGAAATATATAGTAATTTTCTATGAGTTCACTGGTATCAGCAAGGAACCCTCGTGGTGCAATGGTTAATCACTCAGCGGCTAACTGAAAGGTTGGTGGTTCAAGTTGGTGGCTCCTCAGGAGAAAGTCCTGGCTGGCAATCTGCTCTCATAAAGACTGCAGCCTAGAAAACCCTATGGGCAGATCTACTGTCACATGGGGTTGCTATAAGTCAAAAATCAACTCGGTGGTACCTAACAACAACAACAACTGCTATCAGCTAGAGCAATCTGTGAGGCCTGTATTCACAGTGCTTGGAAAACTGGGTGGTTAGTGGGTTGAGGCATCACACACTGTACCTCTCCAACATCTGCTACTGGGTTTCATCTATGGACCCCTATCTACTACTTGCTTTTCTTGGCACAAATTTCTAGTCCCAGACAACAGGCTGGCTTTTCTAAAGGCTAAAAGAGATGTGTTAGGCAAAAAAGAAAGAAAACATTGATCTTAGACTCTTTGCATGCTAATTTCCAAAGTTTTCAGTTGAAGAGATCGATTAATAGATTGATTAGTATTGTTTATTTCTAGTTTTACTGTGAAAGATTTTTGTTAGTGGCAGTAAGAAGCAATATTTTAATTATTGGTCAAGACATTTAATTTTAGAAGACTCTGAAATGTTTTATAAATTTCAAAAACTTCCCAATTCAATGTGGATTGAGAGTCTCTAAGAGAGTGCATATAAGTTTTCTTAGGCTAGATCATGGAACCCCTTTTCCATGGAGTATCTCTTTGGATAAGTATTCTATGGAATATGCTTTAGGGAATTAACCTGATTAACCTAGAAGTTACATTCTGTGAATGTGTTGACTCTTCCTTCCTATCCAATTTAATTCTACATTTCAATATGTACATGCACACACATATACTGTAACAGTATATTGGCAATAACATATTAAACATTTGATATGTATTAAAATGACTATTTCTTTAGAGAAAAAGAAGCACATACAATCCCCTAATACTAAATTAAAACTTTTAAAATTACAGATCTTATTCTCATTCATAAACATTTTAATAAATTTTCAATGATAATGCACATTTTTATAATTTGTGTTTAATTTAGCATTACTTAAAAATATTTTCCCATGTTTTCCCAATCAACAGTCTATTGATTAGTAACATGCCTACACCCAAAACAAGATATCTTACAATTAGTTTCTTTATGACCTGGTCTCTCTCTGAAAGCATGGCTTTTAATTCTGTAATCATCTGTATATCTTCTGCTTTTGATTCTCTTTGTAGATATTTTTCTTCCATTTCTTCTAGTCTAAAAATAAGAAAACTTTTAATTCATTGATATGGCTCAGACATGTTCTTTTGTAACGTCTACATTTTTCAAATTAGTCCAGTTGAACACACATATTTAAAACAAAAAAATTTTTTTCTTGAAACTTCTATGCATAATGAATGATGTGATTGTGTTATTAAAAGGCTTTTCAGGAGTAGATGAAAGTTACTTGTTTAAAAGAATTCACCCATTTTAAGCTATTTAAGAGTATTTGGATATGAGGTAAGGGCTCTGCACAAGCTAAATGGGGCTAGTCTAATAAATATAGTTTGATGCTAGAAATGTAGGCTTACTATTAGGAGCGTTTACCACAAATACAATATTGTGTGATGATATAAGGTTTGATAACATATATAAAAGGGACAAGAGGAAAGGGGAACAAGGAACACACATATACAACCATCATTCTTTTCCAGCTTATGAGAAATGTAGTTTACAGACTCTATATTAATCAGCCAATACATATAAACTGTAAAAAAGTTTCATTAGGTAAGGGAAGAATTATATTCCCTTCTAGGTTTATTCTGTCCAGAATGAGACAGTAATAGTACTGAATGCCACCAAAGACTCTAAAATAGAGGCCACTTTTTATGAGCAGAGGCAACACTGACCCTGCAAAAGATAAATATATAAGACAGGGCAGATCAAAGAAGATGCAAATGGAAACTGCTGGCTTTGCTTGGGGGGAAAAAAAGCACTTTCAATATAATTTTAGAGAATTAAATAACTAGAAATTTTTAAAAAATCTTATGGTTGTCAGAACATAAAGGATAGAACTTAAGTTCAGTAAAATTATGACTAATAAATATTCAGAGATGGATTCATTCATTCAACAAATATTAAATATCTCCTAGGGGATTATCTTCTAGGAATCAGTGATTTTTGTCCCTCCCACCACATCCCAGATGGATGTCAGAATCCCTGTATATTTTAGTACCATACCAAAAACTCATTGCTGTAGAATCAATTCTGACTCAGCAACCCTAGAAGACAGGGTAGACCTGCACCACAGTGTTTCCAAGGCTGTAAATCCTTATGGAAGCAGACTGCCACATCTTTCTCCCACGGAGAGGCTAGTGGGTTCGAACCGCCAACCTTTCATTTAGCAGTCGAGTGCTTAGCCACTGCGCCACCAGGGCTCCTTTTTTTAATACCTTAAAACCCACTAACTCAACTCAGGCTAACAGATTTAGAAGTAATTTGACTCCCTACCTAGCTCCGTGGCTAGAGTTCTAACTGGGGGTGGGAAGGTGTGAGGTGATGAGGAAGTGTGGGGTTAGGGAGTGATTATCTCTGGATCATTTGGAACTTCGTCAAGGTCGGTTGTGCATTGTGTAAGTTTCACTGTCTTTACTATTGTCTTTTAATGAAAATGAGAACTGCGTGAAAAAACATTGTGATTCACTAAACTTACAGTAATGTGACCTTACACTTTATCAAGACATGTCAGGGTTTATTCTTTATGTACTCTGTGGGCAAAGGCTTCAAGATGGTTGAAAATAACTGACCTAGCTGATCTAGTCAAGGAAAAAGATATTTGGGGTTCATACTCAGAGTAGACACAAGATGTCACTGTAGCACTTTCTTCATCATTAAAGCAAAGTACAAGATTTTGAATTGCTTCCTGCAGTCCTGGTAGCTAAAAAAAACTAATTTTAAAGCATTATTCAAAGCTGTTCACAGTGATGAAATGTTATCAGTTTAATCCTCTTCACAAAATATCTTTACATTACCAAAATAAACAAACAAGAAATACTAAAAAAAGATGCCTGGATATTAAAGGGAAAAAATAATTGATTAAATTGAAAAAACATAATCCATATAAACACAAATGGGAAAGCATTAAAGGAGAGAACAAATAAGCAGTATGATATAGATTAAACTCGCAAATATGTTTTCAGAATCATTAGACCTTCAAAATTCTAAGAGGAAGAAAGCTTAGTACCATTCTAATATCTATTTAAAGCCAACATTAGTCACTATTTTCCCTTTCTTCAGTTGCCCACGCAGGCGCTGCTTCCCCAAGGCCAGATGTGAACGACTGGTGATCGAGAGAGAACTTTAAGTACCTTCTCCTTTAATCTTTATGATTACAAGAAGGAGAAAGTCTCAGTTCAGTTCTAAAAATGGCCTCAATAACATGGGCTTATTACTGTATTTCACAAAACATAGGCAGGCCTTGGGCATCAATGCTAGCTAGAATCTAATGACATTGTTTTATTTTCACAGAATTTATATTTGTGTCATTTTTTAGCTTCTATTTAGATAATGCTTTTCAGTATGGTATAAAGTGATACCTGATGATAGAAAGTGTTCCTGTTAAATTTTTAAATTAAAATGAATCCATTAAAAAGTATTAAGAAAATATAGGTAGCCAGAAATGACAGAATTCCTGATAGTCATATAAAACCAAACCAAGACTCCTAATGCCCTATCGGACAGAGTAGAACTGCCCCACAGGGTTTCCAAGGATTTGAACTACTGATCTTTTGGTTAGCAGCTAGGCTCTTAACCACTATGCCACTAGGGCTCCAAGTTAATGTACAGAGAGCCTAAAACAATAATAATCTCTGAACCACCAAAATAAAGGTCTGTCCTAAACCCAAGCTCTAGTATATGTTTTCATGTAGCTTTAACAGTCTTTTAACTACAGAATGAAGCATTTAGATATAATCAAAAAGTTCATTCTTGCATTGTTTTTTAAAAAATAAAAACCATGATGTTTTTATTAGATGTAAGGTTACTAAGATACTATGTCGCTGAAGAAACTCAAATTTCTGTACATCTAAAAATCTAAGAAGACTTTAATACCCAGCAGTAGAAAAGATGATTTCTAATAATCATTCCATAATAGATACAGAACTCTCATTACCATTTCTACAATGCTTAGATGGTGTTTTTCATCTTTTAAATTTGTTGCCTCCTCTCTTCCCTAAGGAGCCCTGGTGGCAAAGTGGTTAAGAGCTTCGGCTGCTAAAGAAAAGGTTAGCAGTTTGCATCCATCAGCTGCTCTTTGAAAGCCCTACAGGGGCAGTTCTACTCTGTCCTATAGGGTTGCTGTGAATCAGAATCAACTCAACAGCAACAGGCTTTTTTGGTTCTCTTCCCTGGAGTCTCCCGACTTCTCAAGGCTTGGGCAGAGCAGAAGCAAGAAACTTCCGTATTAATTATAGGATGACAGCAGGTTTACAGTGGAACAAAAACTATGGTTGGTTAGCATGGACCCTGGTCAAAGTGTAAAATGAATGGTAGATCTAGGAAAGCAGATAAAATATTTGACTTACCATTAATACTAATTCTTCAATTATTAGAAGTGATCATAATATAGGAAAGTTAAAAGTTGTTATTTACTAACAGAAAATCCCTGATACGCAAAAACATATAAAACAGCATTAAGTAAAAGCAAAGATGTAACCTTTATTCTTTGTAAATTAATATTCTTAAGGAGACAAGACACATAGACAGAGGTTATTCTTTTTGTGAGCATGTTTTTTCAGAGTATGAAGTGATGGTTTCTTGATTTTGGGGTAGGATGACACAAGATAGCAGAAGCATGCCAAAAAGGAAGACATGGGGATGCCAGGATTTTAGCCTCTATCTGATGAATAATAATAGTGAGGACAGGAGAAGTAATAGCCAAGACACTGGGTTTACTTGTACCTGAGTTTTGCAAAATGCCTGTGGTTATAAGATCTACAAGGCAGATACCTGAGCTCTTATTGCCGCTCAAAAGGATTAAAAATTACCGTCAATAATAGCAAACACCAAAGTCACTGTGACTGGAAGAAATGACCCCATGATTCTCCTTACCATTCCAAAGATAACTTCACAAAGTGGTAAATATTATAGGGAATCCTCAAAAAATTCATTCATAAAACATTTATTAAGTGTCTACTAATGTGAAGATTCTTATAAATGCTATATGTTCATCAAAAAGAGCACCTCACCTCAGAGGCCACTGAAATAAATGCCAACCACTGGTGGTGGTCTGACTGATTTCTATTCCTGCTTAAGTGAATGTATGTGGGTGCACATGCACACATGTAACAATATTTACTGTGAGACTAAGTTAAATAGATGAAATGTGAGATGTTTTGGACTGGAGGAAGTTTATTAGGTACTAATGATAGAGCAGGTTATTTTAGCCATAAAAGACATCACAGGAGATTCTAAAGGAAACAGAAAAGTCAGCTTGGTTGATACAAAGGCAGTAAACGGGATAGGGTAGTCAACGGATGATGCAGAATAAGGCACAGTGGAGCTAAGTAAGAATATAAGTTTGACTTTAAAACAAAGTTATGGGATTAGTCACTAACTGTGACTTTATTGAAGTATGTGGAGATAGGATACACACATATGTATGTGTATAAATATTTTTTTATCTTTATGAGTATTTTTTTAAATTGATTGGAAGAGGGAAGATTGAAGGTGAATAAACTATTAGCAACAGCTTAGAGCAGATAATTTTGACATAATGAAGCTGGACTAGGATTTGAGCCACAGAGATGAACCAAATGCTAGCACTATCAGCTATAGCAGTTTATAAGTGTCTTGGGAAAGTAATAATTAAAGATTTTGACTTTAGCAATATTGGACTTACTATGTAGAGTAGTAACTTTCTTTGTAATGTTTTTCCTTTATTGATTTTTTAAATCACAGAACAATGAAATGCTTGCTGTAAGAATAATTCAAACAGGACCTAAGTAGGACATATAAAATAAAAAAGGAAAAGCCTTTGTTCTTCTTCTCCCCTAATACCTCCAAATCTGCTCCCTAAGGGGTAACTACTGTTATTTAAAGTTTATGTTTATTTTTTGAAGATCTTCTGATATTTTTGTAAAATATGTATTAATAGTGTGTGTAGGTATGTGTTTAGCACCATAATTTTCCTATTGTTCACAATATGCTCTTTTATATAACATTACATAATGGAAAACTTTTGAGTTTTCTCCCTGGTACTGAACAGTTAATGATCCTGGGATACATTCTTTAGATAAGATTGTCTTAGTAGAATTGCAGCAGTAGCAGCTGATAAAACAGTCGTTCAATTGTCTTGCAGACTTATCCTAACTAGATAACGTACCACACTATAAACACTATCTGCAATATAGCACCTAAGTTTTCTTTTCAAAGTATCATTCAACTGTAATCAAAATAGTAGCCAGACTCAGATTAGACACAGTGCTCCTCAGTTTATGAATTATCCGCATATGAATCTTCTGTAATACAATATGACTTACGACACTTGTAAAGCTGCATTTATTTCCTTGAGTAGCTCGTTAGTCTTATTAAAATCTGCCCGCATGATATTTTTTTCTCTGAGGTGGTCTGCTGTCATGACATCCAGCTCTTTTTCAAGTCTCTTGTTTAAATCTTGTTCATGCAACCTGTTTATTTTTAGTTAAGAAAATGTTATTCTGAAGTCAAGCTTTCAAAACTTTCTATATTCTACCAGATTTGAAATGGTTTTAGGTACAATACATAGAAAATTAATGGAAAGAGCCTAAATTGAGCTACTTACTTTCCTCTAATCTTCTAGCTTGTTAAAGTTGTCTCCTTTAATGCTTTTTATTTTATAAAAATAACACTTAAAAAAGATTTTAGTATATTATATATAATTTTCAAAGTTAACAAATACATACACATCATCCAAAACATAAACATTTCATCTGTGTTCTGGATTATAACACAGTCAAATAAAGTAAAAAGTGGTCTTCAACATCTTAACTAGAAGGGAAGTCTAGTCATAAGAGGCACATATTGCTAAATATCATGACACCAGTCTTTTAGCTAACACTGGATATTTCTTCTGTTGTAATTAATAGCGTACCTCATCTGTTGGTTAGATTCACTTCGTATTCTGAGTACTTCTTTGCCCTTAAATTCCAATTCTTTCGTTAGGGCGTTTATATTCTCACGAAGGTGCTGTACCTCTGAATCCAAATCGGAGATGTGATGCTCTCTGTGCCTTAATTCCTCTTGGAGATCTGTTATTCTGCACATGTGCTCCTGACTCTAAAATACAAATACTTCTTAAAAGTTTTCTACATATCTGCTTTCTGTGTCTATTTGAGGGAAAGTAAATGACAAACTGGAATGTCAGATGTACCCATTCTGACATTGCTGCAAAGCAAACTGCTGAAACCAGATAACCTCAAGGTCTCTCCTCTTTCCATACATTTAAGAAGTGTTTTTATGGAAACATAACTCCAATAATGTCAGGCCAGCAGGTATCCAAAAGATCATAAAAGCACATTTCCTTCATTTTACAGATGAGGAAACCAATACCCCAAAAGATGATTTGCCCAAGAATGATATATAATCAATGGCAGAGCTGAAGGTTAGAGCCCTGTAAGTTATATGGTTTTGTAGTAAGATGTTGGCACCACTGTCCTTTAATCTAAAAGAACCTGCATCTATGGAGGCCTTCCAAACACACACACACGCACACACACACACACCACACACACACACACCCCACACACACACACACACACACTCACTCACTCACTCACTCTTCCCATGGCTTAGAAAGCAGATTTTGTCTCCTCAGTGATGCTCCAGCAGTTATCTTATCTGGCAGATAAGCTCCCTTCCGTTTTCCTAGAAGTCACTGTTATACAACAAGTTCTGCAGGTCTAGACATTGTCGATTTCAGCGTAAGCCTAGTTAGAAGTAAGTATAACTTCCCTCCATGGTTATAAGGTGGCTCATTTAAAACTTCCTAGCAATGAAGAGAAAACTTGGGTTGGTCATTGAACACAGCTGAATACTAACAAAGTGAAAGTCATAAATCTAATAAACTAATAATTAATAGCCTTTCCTGGTGGTCTAGTGTTAAATGCTTGCCTGCTAACCAAAAGGTCAGTGGTTTGAATCTACTAGTCGCTCCTTGGAAATCTGAGGGGACAGTTCTACTCTGTCCTGTAGGGTTGCTATGAGTCAGAATCAACTTGATAGCAATGGGTTTTTTTTTTTTTTAATTTTTTTCCTGCACTGGTGCCTAAAAATACATACAGCATATATTCACACATTCAGGATCACAAACTATCTAATTAAAGGAAAGTATACTTGGTCAAAGAGAACAGTTTAAAAAGTATGAATGAATAGTAGCTGTGCTAGCATTCTATGGAAATATAACGTATCCTTTTTCTTCTTGAGGACCTGCTTTTTCTAAAGCTGTTCTATCCAATATGGCTGTTTAAATCTAAGTTTAAATTAATTAAAATTGAAAATTCAGTTCTCTCTGTTGAACTAGCCATATTTGGCCCATATGGCTAGTGACTACCGTAGTGGATTTAGGACAGGTTCATCATCATGAAAAGTTCTATTGGGCAACACTTTTATAGTATTCTGCCTTCAGTCTTCACAATATGTATATTTTATTGTTCACTTTCCCAAGATGGATGTAAAATTCAAAATATTCAATTAGAAGTTCATAAGAGAAAATGTAATTTCATGACCAATATACACTAAGGTTAAATTACTTATTTCTCTTTAAAAATAAACTCTTTAATAAAGATAGTAAATAACAACTAGTAAAAGCACCAGTAATTACAAAATAAATTTTTGAAAAATTGTGAACATTCAATTTATTCACATTTAAGAAATATTCACAGAACAGAATGTTCTTATTTACCTGTCTTCTGCTGATGTCTATGCTTCTCTCTAGTTCCATTTTAGCAGCTGCCAGTTCTTGATGATGACTGTGCCGTAACAGATCAATTGCAGCTGCATGTTGATGGTTTAATTCTGAGCGTAAGGAAGCTGGCAGTCAAGAAATAAAAGGGTTTAGCATATTTCAAAATATTATCGATACTTTAGATAAAAACTATAAAAGTCACAGGCTATTATTTTAAATAAGGGCATGTGTATATGCTTATTAAGATATTATCTACCACATGTCTGTCAGTTTGTTTTACTGTGGTGGATTGCATGTTGCTATGGTGCTGAAACCTATGCCACCACTATTTCAAATACCAACAGGGTCACCCGTGGTAGACAGGTTCTAGCAGAGCTTTCAGACTCAGACGGACGAGGAAGAAAGGCTTGATGGTCCACTTCTGAAAATTAGCCAGTGAAAACCCTATGGATCCCAACAGAATATTGTTCTATATAGTGCTAGAAGATGAGCCTGCTAGGTTGGAAGGCACTCAGAATACACAGTGGCTCCAACAGTGGACTTGAGCATACCAGGAATCATGAGGATGGCATGAGACTGGGCAACGTTTCATTCTGTTGTACGTGGGGTCGCCATGAGTCAGAGCCAACTCAAAGGCAACTAACAATAACAACAACTACAACAAAGCAGACTTCAGAACAAAAAAAATTACCAGTGACAGAGAGCAACATTACATAATCATAAAAGGGTCAATCACTCAAGAGTACACAGCAATTCTAAATATATATGCACCAAACAACAGAGCTGCAAAATATACAAAGCAAAAACTGATAGAATTATAGTTGGAGACTTTAACACTCCGCTTTCGAGAACCGACAGAACATTTATATGGAAAATCATCAAGGATACAGAAGAACTCAACAACATCAACCAACAGGATCTAATCAACATTTACAGAACACTCCAACCAACAATAGCAGAATATGCATACTTTTCAAGTGCTCATGGAACATGTATCAAATAGATCATAGGGTGGACCCTAAAATAAACCTCAAGCAATTTTAAGTGATTGAAATCATAGAGTGTGTTCTCCAATCACAATGGTATCAAACTAGAAATCAATAACAGAATGACAACAAACAAATTTCCAAACATTTGCAGAGTAATTAATACACTTCTAAATAATCTGTGGGTCAAAGGAAATTAAAAAAATACTTAAATAATGAAAATGAAAATACATATCATAATTTGTGGAGTACAGAAAAGGCAGTGCTGCAAAAGAAATTTATTGCACTAAGTGCATACATTAAAAAAAAGAAAAAAGCCTTAAACCAATAACCTAAACTCCTATCTCATTAATTTAGAAAAAGAACAACTAAAACTCAAAGCAAGCAGAGAGAAGGAATTAATGAAATTTTGAACACAGGAGAGAAAATCAATGAAACAAACAGCTGGCTCTCTGAAAACACCAATAAAATTGACAAGTTTATGACAAAAAAAGAGGAAGACACAAAATACCAATATCAGGAATGAAACAAGGTCTATCACTACAGAGCCTGCAGACATCAAAAGGATATAAGAAAATACTATGAACAACTATGCCTATATACATTTGACAACACAAACTAGCACAACTCATCCAATATTAAATAATTTGAATAACCTCACAACTATCAAGGAAATTGAATTAAAAATTTAAAACTCCTAAAAAGAAATCTCCAAGCCCAGCTGGTTTTATGAGAGAATTCTACCATACATTTACAGAAGAATTAACACAGATTCTACAGAATCTCTTGTAAAAAACAGAAGAGTGAACCTTTCCAATTCATTTCATAAGCACACTAGACAAAGTGAGTACAACAAAAGAAAACTACAGACCAATATCACTAACTAATATAGACGCAAAAATCCTTAACAAAATATTAGTAAATACAACTCAGCAATATACAAAAAGGAATTTTACATATGATCAAGTGGGGTTTATTCCAGGAGGCACATAAGGTTGGTTCAGTATTCAAAAAACAATCAATGTAATCCACCATGTTAACAGGCTAAAAAAGAAAAATCACATGATTACATCAATCGATGCAGAAAAAACATTTGACAAAATTCAACAATAAAAACTCGAATAGAGGGGAACTTCAACTTGATAAAGAGCATTTACAAAAAAAAAACAAACCTATAGCTAACCTTATACTGGAAACCCTGGTGGTGTAGTGGTTAAGAGTTTGGCTGCTAACCAAAAGTTGGCAGTTTGAATCCACCAAGCGCTCCTTGGAAACCCGTGGGGCAGTTTTACTCTGTCCTACAGGGTTGCTATGCGTCGGAATCAACTTGACAGGAGTGGGTTTGGTTAGGTTTTGGTTTTTAACCTTATACTTGATGACACACAGAATGCTTTCCAATTAAGATCAGGAGGAAGGCAAGGATATTCACATCCTTATTAAAATAGTGCTAAAAGTTTCAGCCAATGCAACAAGAAAAGGAAATAAGGGATAGTACAGAGCCAAAAAAAAGAAATAGAACTGTCCCTATTTGCAGATGCCACCACTTGTCTGTCAGTTTGCCATACTGTGGTAACTTGTATGTTGCTGTGATGCTGAAAGCTATGCCACCAGTATTTCAAATGCCAGTAGGGTCACCCACGGTGGACAGGTTTTAGCAGAGCTTCCAGATTAAGACTGGGAAGAAGGATCTAGTGATTTATTCTGGAAAAAATTGACCAGTGAAAACCTCATGAATAGCAGTGGAACACTGTTTGAAATACTGCGAGAAGCTGAGCCCCTCAGGTTGGAAGGCACACGAAATACATGGATGGAGTAAAGCTTTCAAGACTGTCATTTGCTCATGTGGCATGACTCAAAATGAGAAGAAACAACTGCAAATACCCATTAATAATCGGAACATAGGAATCTAGGAAAATGGAAGTCATCAAAAATGACACGGAACGCTTGAAGACCGATATTCTAGGCAGTAGTGAGCTGAAATGGACTGGTATTGGCCATACTGAATCAGAAAATCCTACGGTCTACTATGCCAGGAATGACAAAGAGGAATGGCATCGCATTCATTGTCAATAAGAACATTTCAAGATCTATCTTGCAGTACAGCACTGTCAGGGATATGATAATATGCATATGCCTACAAGGGAGACCAGTTAATACGACTATTATTCAAATTTACACATCAATTGCTAATGCCAAAGATGGAGAAATTGAAGATTTTTCACCAACTTCTGCAGTCTGAAGTTGATCAAACATACAAGCAAGATGCACTGATAATTACTGGTGATTAGAATGTGAAAGCTGGATACAAGAAGGATCAGTAGTTACAAAATATGGTGGTGCTGGTGATAAAAATGACGCCGGAGATCACATGATAGAATTTTGCAAGACCAACAATTTATTCATTGGAAACACCTTTTTTCAACAACATAAACAGCGACTATACACACGGACTTCACTGGATTCTATGGGTAAAATACTGAACAATGCAGGAAGCATCAAAAGAAGATGGAAGGAATATACCGAGTCACTGTACCAAAAAGAATTGGTTAACATTCAGCCATTTCAGAAGGTAGCATATGATCAAGAACCAATGGTAGTGAAGGAAGAAGTCCAAGCTGCACTGAAGGCACTGGCGAAAAACAAGTTTCCAGGAACTGATGGAATACCAACTGAGATGTTTCAACAAATGGTTGCAGCACTGGAAGTGCTCACTTATCTATGCCAAAAAATTTGAAAGACAGCTACCTGGCCAACATACTAGAAGAGATGCATATTTGTGCCCATTTCAAAGAAAGGTTCTTCAACAGAATGCAGAAATTTTCAAACAATATCATTAATATCACATGCAAGTAAAATTTTGCTGAATATCATTCAAAAACGGTTGTAGCAGTACATCGACAGTAAGCTGCCAGAAACTTAAGCCGGATTCAGAAGAGGACGTGGAAAGAAGGATATCATTGCTGATGTCAGATGAATCTTGGCTGAAAGCAGAGAATACTAGAAGGATGTTTACCTGTGTTTTACTGACTATGCAAAGGCATCCGACTGTGTGGATCATAACAAATTATGGGTAATGGTGCAAAGAATGAGAATTCTAGAATACTTAACTGTGCTCATGAGAAACCTGTACATAGACCAACACAGACCAACAGGCAGTTGTTCAAACAGAACAAGGGGATACTGCATGGTTTAAAATCAGGAAACGTGTGTCCGGGTTGTATCCTTTCACCATACTTATTCAATCTGTATGCTGAACAAATAATCTGAGACGCTGGACTATATGAAGAAGAATGCAGCATCAGGATTGGAGGAAGACTTACTAACAACGTGTGATATGCAGATGACACAACCTTGCTTGCTGAAAGCAAAGAGGACTTGAAGCACTTACTGATGAAGATGAAAGACTACAGCCTTCAGTATGGATTACACCTTAACAAAAAGAAAACAGGTATCCTCACAACTGGACCAATAAGCAATATCATGATAAACAGAGAAAATATTGAAGTTTTCAAAGATTTCATTTTACCTGGATGCACAAGCAACACCCATGGAGCAGCAGTCAAGAAAGCAAATGATGTACTGCATTGGGCAAATCTGCTGCAAAAGACTTCTTTAAAGTGTTAGAAAGCAAAGATGTCACTTTGAGGACTAAGGTGTGCCTAACCCAAGCCATGGTATTTTCAGTCACCTGGAACAAACTATTGGTACATTCAACAACCTAGATGACTCCCTAGAGAATTATGGTGAGTGAAAAAAATCAATCCCAAAAGGTTACATATTGTATGATTCCATTTATATAAAATTCTTAAAAATGACAAAACTATAGAAATGGACAACAGATTAGTGATTGCTAGCAGTTAAAGGAGGGGAGGAGAGGGAAGTGGGTATTGCCATGAAAAGGTAACATGACAGATCTTTGTGGTGATAAAAATGTTCTGTATCTTGACTGGATAAATGTCGCTATCATGGTTTTGATACTGTACTACAGATTTGCAAGATGTTATCATTGGGGAACTCTGTGTAAAGGGTACATGGGATCTCTGCATTATTTCTTACAACAACATGGAAATTCACAAGTATCTCTAACTAAATATTTTAATTTAAAAAATGACAAAAAAGTCCTTTTGTCAGCAAAGAGGTGATTAAACCATGTTTCAATGGATTGAATAACAACTCCAACACTTAGTTTGGCTTTACCTTTCCTCACACAGCTGTGGAAACTGTATACTCCCCTTTGGCCATAGCCTTACAAAGGCTACCTCTGCATTTGATTATCAGCTACTGGAGTGCAAATACAAAGCAACAGTTCATTTTTAATTCCTTTTGCTTACCACAATATTTAGCACATACGAGGTATTCCACAAATCTCTGATAAATGTTTGGTAGACATTTGATGACAGACAGAAGTATCACTGGATGTTGCTTACGTAGCCCATAGCCAGAGTACAGAAAAAGTTGAACAGATTGTATTGTGTGTGCTCTACCTGTTCTACTTTACCATACCCACCTCTTCATGTGGTAGCTTTAAATAAAACACGCAACATACATAGATATTCACTCACATGTTTTAAAACTTAAAAATAACACTTTGTCTATTTGCTGAACTTTAAATGGAAGAATATACAAATAAATATGGTAAGATTATAATCCTTCCAAAATACCAAGCATAGCCTTTCCTTCATCTTCTAATTCAAATCGAAGAGTCTGCAGTTCCTGTTCCATTTCTATCCTGAAGCCCTCCATTGACTCTCTGTGCGCATCTTTTAATGACTGAAGCTCTGCAGAATGTTTTCGTTGTAAATGATTTTCAAGAGCCTAGAACAGGAGAAACAAATTCAAAGTATTATGCTAGAATATGGGACAGAAAATGTAAACAAAATATAAAATAGTTACTAAGATGCATTGTTTAAAGAAATACTAGGCATTTTTTAGTTCATTTTTAAGAAAACTAGATACAAGATAATCACCATTAGAAAATAAATTAGTAAAGTCACTTCAGCAGGACAGAATAAACTAATCGTAATGAAACCAGTTTGAGTCAGTGTATTTTGTTTGAACTGAAAATACAGACCCTTTACCTAAGGCAGTTCTCAAAGTCATTTTCTAAAGCTGCTAAGGGGTGTAAACTACCTAAGATTAATGAATAATTCCTTTGTGTACACAGACTCAGATGCAGGAAAGAGGAGGAGGGCATTAACAAGAAAAGATTTATTTCAGATTAGGAAAAGAGAGATGAAAGCTTTTATAACTCCGGCCATATCAAATATTTTATAGCTATTTTCCACAGTCATTCTTTGCTCCTGCACATGTGAACAGAAAGAAGCAAAAGCTCTGTGAGTAGTAACTGGAAAAGTACTTAAAGAGTACTTAAAGGTTGACTGCCAACAAGGTGTTTTTAAAATATAATCTATAACATGAAAGGTTTCTGAGAAAGATGTATTGCATTTCAGGCTTTATTTCTTTAAACATTACTCTAGAGGACTGTTTTTTAAAAGTCGTATTTAGCTATTTAAGTTCACTGTTTAAAAAGTGTTTTATTTCTGAAAAATAAAGCATTGGTTTCTTTGAAAATAGGTAAATAAGGACTAAGTTTAGACCATGTTTCTGAGGCAGCTTGTCTACCTAATGACAGTACAGTAAAATTGCAGGTTTTGATATCCTGTGAAGAATGATTTATTTAAGTTCCATAAAAGATTAAGCGTGCAAAATTAAAGTACTGACATGAGAGCTTATGTGTTATTCTGATTCATAAATGGCATCCAATGGATAAATTGTTTAGCATTGTAAGCATGCCTAATTTTTAACAAAAGTAACTTCCTTGACTTTCTGGACAAGATCAATAGAATACAACTTATTGCATAGGCAAGTTAATTGCTTTAAAAAGAATATGCCTTTATTTTTAAAAATAATTTCTTTATAATACACTATTTCTTAAAATAGTGCCCATAGCTAAGTCAAGGATTAAGAAACACCCTAAATCAGTAATGACTATACATGGTCAAAACTGTGTTTTTCTATTAGCTCTTTATTTTAATTATAAGATCCTTGGAAGAAATAAAAAAATAAAGTGTTAAGAAATGAACTAAACCAAAATTTATCACAGTAAGGTTATATCAAACTAACATTTTAACTCATAACTGAGTATGGGGAGATTTGGGCATATAATATGATTAATCCAATTTATCTGATTTCAGTATCTTCTGAGTTGTTATTGTCACTACTCTTCACAGCCTTTCGCACTGTATATATAAGGGACTATACTATTTTTAAATGTTTCCAATTTAATTTCATTGTGAATTTTGTACATACGAAAAACAAGTGGATGAGGAAAAAATCTATTCTAAAATAGATATCTATAAAATCTATAAATATATATATATATTTCTTGGATACATATTTTCTGTAGATCAAGCCTGAAAAAGAAAAATGAAAAATGTGATGATATTATTAAATGATTAGAGTGGTTATAGGTCAGTAGAACCATGCTAAAAGATTTAACTGAATTTATTTAATCACTGTAACCATCCATAAACTAAAACCAAACCAAACTCGTTGCCATCGAGTCGATTCCAACTCATAGTGACCCTATAAGACAGAGTAGAACTGCCCCTATAGGACAGAGTAGAACTGCCCCGTAGGGCTTCGAACTGCTGGACTTTTGGTTAGCAGCCGAGCTCTTCACCACTGCACCACCAGGGCTCCATAACCATCTATATGACAAGCCAAATGGTATATTAGTTTTATCATGAATGTGGAATTATGGTAGGAAACAAAACGTTGGCCATAGTCTAATTTCCCTGTGATAAGTGTTAATTAGTATATACATTCCATCACTATCAGCCCTACCAGAAGCCACATCTGGAAAAACACATTTAAATAAAGCAATATATAATCTTTTGAGCAAAAAATGAGTTCTTAAGAATTTGAAGGCTAATTAATTATTGGGCTGTTGAACATTAATACAGTTGAACATTAAACATTAAACTTACTCTTTGTTCCTTTTCCTTTTCTTCTTCCATAGTTTGAAATGCAAGAACATGTGCCTCTTTTAAGGACTTATGTCTTTGCTGATGTTGTTCTTCTAATTCTTCAAGCTCTTGTGTAAGCCGTTGTCGTTCTTGTGTAAACTGGGCTTGCAGTTGCTGCAGAGAAGTCTGAGACTGGGAAAGCTGCATCTCCAGAGTCTGTTTCAGCAAGGAAATCTATGCCATAGAATGGTACACAATGAAGAATAAATACAAGGCATATTTCACAAACTGCCAATCTAAGAGAAAAAAGCATTTCAAAGATATTAACTAGAGTAAAATACTTAAGTAAATTTCCACTTGAAATGTTTTACAGTATCATAAAAATCTAAACTTTAGGTATCAAAACTTTTAATTCTATTTTCAGTAATAGACTAGTTAGGTTACGTTTGTAGACTGTCTAAAGAACACTGCAGCCCACATTTAGCAATACAATGAACACCTATATTGCATGGCAATAAAAAATTCATAATATGCAATATAAATATAAACAGAAGACAAGTAATGTTATTTGTTAGGTCACAGTCACATCAAGTGGATAGTATGAAAAGTTAAACTGCTTGTTTGTGAGGTACTAAACAGGAGTCGTTAAGACTGTGGGCTCTGAGTTAAAATTCTGGCTCTTTCCTTGCTAGTAACAAACAGCTCTCTGGGCTGTGGTGACAACTAAGTGTGTTACTACACATAGTTGACTTAAAACAGTGCCTGGCACAGAGTAAATGTTCAATAAATGTTAGCTAAGATTATCGGAGAATCAAAAAACTACTATCTAAAAGATTTGTCAGTTCATAATTTAGAATCCTTGTATTAAAAAGAGATTTTTTATTTTTAAATGTAGACTTACTTCAAAAGAACTTGCAAACCTTTAAGCTTTTTTAAAAATCAGAAACATCCCACAATCCTCTAGTTTCATCTTTATAATACTGTCAGATGCTTTACTATGAAAAATTGATTTATCACTCCTTTTGAAGACAGACAACATGACTCTTAATTTGTCTGTACTGTTTCTGGATGTTTTAACATACTTAAAATTATGTCTTTTTAGAAATAAAGGTATAAAATATGTGTATATGTATATATTATATATGTTCATATATACATTTGATGAAATCATTTCGTTTTATCTATTTCTATTTTCATATAAAGGATACTGTAACTTGATACTGTATACCCCAACCATATTCTAAAAGAAGTTTGAAGCTAAGAGGAACTAGATAAAAAGTTGTAAAATGTGTTCCATAAGCAACTTAAGATACTATATGTATCTATATGCAAGTAAAACAGTTTTTGTGGCCAAGAAAGCCAACAAAGAGAGTAAATTTTAAAGGGAGTTTTTCTAAAGTGAGTTTTTGAGTTCTTTTGATTGCTGGGAGGAAGATGATAGGCTGCCTCCCTCACAGGTCTCAGAAAGAAAGGGACCTGGTAAAGAAAGAGGAAGGCTGGGGAATCACCAGTGATACAAAACAAGGAAGGAGGAAAGAACTGTTCACTAGAAGACAAGAAAGGTCAGAAGCAGGTAGCTCTCTCCCTCTTAAACAGCAGGAAACAGTCACAGAATGCAGGCAGAAAGTGAGCTCGGGGTAGATGATTAGCTGTCTGCAATGGTTTTGGACAAAGTTATAAATCAAGATTAGTAGTTAGCACATGCTTTCATGGAAACAGTCAAGCACTGATAAGAAATGATACAACCGACATCTTAATGTATTTCCAAAGAAGTTACTCTACCTGTTGAAAGTGATATGAATTCCACTTATTAATTTCTACAGAAAACTAAGGTTTCTGAGGTTATGTTTGTATGTTTGGAGCCCAGGCAGAACTGCCATGCTCTGACTCTAGACAATGCAAGTTCCTATACTCTAAGTGGCAGCAGTACTCATATTTAAAGACTGATATAAACCCTGCAAGGGTAAAAATTGCATGAGAATGTCACAGCAACAGCCAAGGCCATACTTGTGTGGAGTAGGAAGCCCAAGACAAATTATATCATGTGACTTCTCCCCATTTTATAGAAGGAAGATCAGATTGAAATTAATATTAAAGAGAGCCCTGAAAGAAAAAAAATCATAAAACGGTAATGGGCAATAAAAGTGTGTGTTTGCCAACACTGATGTGTAATTGGTAATGTTTTTTCTAGCCAGCTGGTTCAACACTGGTATCAGTTCCAGCATGGAGATTACTTTGTCTTTGGTGACTACTTGTTAAAATATATCTGGAAAGTTAGGGAAAGAGTGTATTACATGTAGAATAATGATTGATATTGTCAAAGCTATTACTTGGCACCTGTCCAAGTGGGACTGAAATTCATAAAGCATTCTTTGGTCACCAGACTGTCTGCCCTGGTTGTTATGGATTGAACTGCATCCTCTAAAAGGATATGTTGAAGTCCTAACCCCTGTATTTATGAGTGTGACTTCGTTTGGAAACAGAACTTCTTTTTTGTTATCAGTTAAATTAAATGAAGACATAATGGAGTAGGGCGAGTCCTAATCCCAACCCCTTCTGAGTGATGTTTTATAAAAAGGGAGAACAGACATGGAGAGAAAATGACATACACAGGGGGAAGACACCATGTAAGGGTCCATCTACAAGCCAAGAAATACCCGTGGCTACCATGAAGCTGAAAGAGATAAGGAAGGATCTTCCTCTAGAGCTGACATAGAGAAAGTACAGCCCTGCTGATGCCCTGAATTTGAACTTTTAGCCTTCAGAACTATAAGACAATAAAATTCTTGTTCTTTAAAGCCACTCACTTTGTGGTATTTTGTAATGATGGCTCTAGGAAGTTATGATATATCTGTATCCACCCAAAAAGAAGGGGTATATTTTTCTAATTTGCATAAAGTCATCATATGGGGTAGCAGTGGCCCTGGATTCTGATTGAGTGTGCACTTAAAGTTAGTAAGAAGCTGATCAGTTCACAGTATTGAATTTACATTCTGCAATACCTACAGTATTCAAAAGTTCACCACATCAGAAGGTCTCCCATGTGTTTATTTGACTATTTGACTCACACTTAAACTATTTAAGGATGAAAGTTATGAAGAAATTAGAATACTTACAATGAATGAATGGAGTACCACAGTCATATAATAGTTATACATTTACTTTGAGACCTCTCCAGCTTAAGTAAAATACACTTAAATATTTTACATCATAATATACTTTACCTTGAAAGAACTCCAAAGTAATATTTTGCATCTTAGGATATATGATTAATCTTTGTATCTATACTCAAGACAGTAATATGAACTATATGCAAAAGACATCAACATGCAATTTAGTGTTTAAATCTATTTTGTTTAGACATTTTATATAAGAATTCTTAACCTTTAAAGCACACCAAAATAACAACAAGGCTATCTAAAATCTTTGGATCCATGCTCAAGACAGTAACATGAACTATATGCAGAAAGCATTTATCATGCAGTGTAGCATCAAAACTTAATTATTTTGTTCTTTTTATAAATAAATTAGTAGAATTACATTAAATTATCAGCCTTTATTCAGCATGAAGATTACATGGCACTTTAAAAGACAAAAATAATGAGCAAAGTAATACAAAATGAACTAATATTTTATAGCCATAATTTAAACAGCTGAGTTTAGTATACTCTCTGGAAATACATATTAATATAAAATCTCATTAACCCAAAACAAAAGGGAACAAAGATGGACTCTGCATTAAATGGTGTGGACAACCTTCATCAGTACTTTTATTATAGAATTATGGAGTATCTAGAAATGCATTTGTTGAATTAACAAGTGAGAAACTGTAGTTGCTTCAAATTATATAGTATATTCAGATTATGCAGTATATGGTACTAGTTTCATACGCACTTGTTAAATTAAACATCTAATGCCTTTTTATTTTGTTCATTTTAAATAAAAGAGAATCCCTACTTCAGAAAAAAGTTTATTTTTAATTATTATCATATTAATTTAGATATGAATTATGTAATATATTCTACTGATAAATAGGTACGAGATTATTTTGTAAACAATTTTAAGGCCAAACTGCCCTGATAGTAATTGCTACCATCTGATCTCTACCACTGAAAATACCGTTGTCTCATTTTTTTTGAAAGAAAATTCATAAAATTTTCAAAAAGAAAAAGCTAAAATTAAAAACATATGGATACATTTTTTGAAGAATGAAAAGCTTCACCTATGTCCTATAGAGCAGTTTCACAAGGATTCCGTTACTGAAAAGATCTCCACAGTGGGGCTATAGAAGAAATCCCTCAAAACAGAATCTTGAACATCAAATCTGAGGTACTAGACATGATAGGATGTCAACATGGGCCATGTCATAGTAATTACGCACATCTGACCTACACCCTTTGGCTTTTGATCCAATCAACATTGGCATATTTTTTCCTAAAAAAAAAAATCAGTCTTGTTACAGAAATAAAAGAATACTGAAAGTATACAAACAAAACATGTCTTGAGGTAGTAAATGTAATTTGTGGTTCTCAAGTCTGGCTGTGTATCAGAATCATCTCTTGAGGTCTGGAATTGGGCCAAGGCAGCCTAATAGATTTTTATTCCTAATTACCAAAGTGGTATGTGTTCATTGTGAAAAACTTAAACATGCATAGGAGTATATAAAATAAAAAGGAAAGTCTTCTTCATTCCCCTTCCTTGCCAAATTCCAATCCTTAAAAGAACCAGTGTTAATGCCTTATATTTTCTCTTGATATAAATGCTTGTTTTGTTTTCTTTAGACTTTTTTTTTTTAACTACATCATGTATAAATGGCTGGACAATTTTTACCAAATGTACAGAGTATATCTGTCATGATCTGACAGAATATAGGCTATGTCTTATACACAAAAGTTGCTTGGGGGCCCCTAGGCATACCTCAAAGAGACCAGTAGTTAACGTCCAGAGTAGCTGAAACAGAAACCCGTGAGCCTCTTGATTGGGACAGATATTCCATATGTATTGCACAGAGGAATAAACACGATTTCAAAGGTGAAACTGTAAGGGTAGATGCTCTGACCTGCAGGTGTTGATGTGTGATGGACTGGTTTCTCACACAGCCAACTCTACGTAGCTTCCTCAAAGACAAATATACCCAGGTATTTATTTAATGATGCTTAATGATTGTTCCATTGAGGAAGCCAATTAGTTCATGTTCTGTAGTTTCTTTTTCTTCAAAAATGGTATTTATAGAG